ATCAACACGGAAGTCAAGAAAAGCATGACAAAAGCAAAAGAGAGCTGGATAGAAGATCAGTCCAAATAAATTGAAGGAAACTTGAAAAGGAACAACAGCAAGAAAGCGTACCAACTGGTCCAAGATCTAACAAGCACAAAACAACGGCGAGTTGCCATCTTACAGGACAAAGCCTGAAAAGCCTCACTGAAGAAGAAGACATTCTGAAAAAATGGACAGATTATTGTGCGGAACTTTAGAACCACCGAGCCACAATAGATCTAGCGATGCTGAACGTCCCTCCAGCAACTGGCAACGAGAACCACTTATCCTACGTGAAGAAGTAGAAGCAATAGTGAGATCGCTGAAAACAGGAAGTCAGCATGAGTGAATAACATCGCAGCAGAACTCGACCAAATAGGGAGAGAAGCAATAATTAGTGCCTTCACAAACATATGCAAAAAGATGTGGAAAACAGGAGAATGGCAAATGCCGTGGATACAAGAAAAGCAACTTAAAACAATGTCAAAACCAACCGTACAATCAGTCTTATAAGCCATCCAATAAAAGTCATGTTGAGGATACTGCTGAACACGAGTTGAAAAGATTATTGCCGAGGGAAAAAGAAAGACAGGTTCTAGAGCTCAGCACGAAAGAACAGATCTTCACCCTCAGGATATTGTGTGAGAAGAACCTCCAACACCAACAAGATCTTATCACTTCTACGTGGATTTCCAGATAGCATGTGATGGGTATGTTATGTAGTTTTATGGGCGACAATGAGACTATACATCATCAATGCCAACCTCATTACAGTAATAGAGTACCTATATGACAAGGCCACGAGTGCAGTATACTTCAACGGCAGAATATGGGACTGGTTTAGAACAGCAGTCGTAGTCAGTCGAGGCTGTCTCCTCTCTTCCACATTATTCACCCTCTTTCTGGAGGGAATCATGGCTGACACGCTTGAAAAGTATAAAGTGACAGTCAGCACGGAGGCAGAACAGTCACCAACTTATCTTTTGCCGATTACATTGATGGACTAGCAGGAAATGAGCAAGAACTGGCTAAGCTTAGCAGAGAGCCTCGACAAAACATCTGCAACCTACGTCATGGAAATCAGTGCAGAGAAGGCCAAAATGATGACCATCTACAGCTAGGGCATCAGCACTGGCATCAGAGTCTAAGGTACGAAGCTAGAAACAGTCCACAGCCTCATGTATTTGGGGCAATTGTAACAGATGATGGCCCGAAGCCTGACGTATTCTCCAGGATTGTGCAGAAAAAGCAGCACTGACAAAACTGAAGCCAATCTGGATTGACAAGAACATCGTACTCATTTCAAAGGTCAGACTGATGCACTCACTAGTGATCTCCATATTTCCCTACGCCTGTGAATCATGGACCATCACTGCTGACTTAGAGAAAAGGCTACAGGCGACAGAGATGAGATGCTTCCGAAAGATTATCGGCGTCTCATATAAAGACCGTGTCACCAATGAAGACATACGGCAAAGGATTAGACAAGCCATTGGGCCTAACGAAGACCTCTTGACCACAGTGAGCAAACGTACACTGCAGAGGTATGGGAGTGTATCAGGATTATCAGGACTTGCCAAGACAATCCTGCAAGGTACTGTACAAGGAAGAAGATAGAGGCAGAGAAACAGGTGGAAAGAAAATATTAAGGAATGGACTAACTTGAAACTGAGCGACTCATTGAGAAAGAAGAAAAATCGAGAGAAATGGAGAAAAATGGTTGTCCGGTCTCATGTGGTCCCACAACGGTCTACAACAATTCGGGACTGATGATGATGATGATGATGATGATGATGATGATGATGATGATGATGATGATGATGATGATGATGATGATGATGATGAATTTTTGCATTAAATTATATTGAGGTGCACTACCCAGTTCTGTAAGCTAAGTAGCACTTGTGTACCGATTTAGACCAAGCCAGCAATTAAATTCACAGGGTCAGTTCATAAATGTTAGGAAACGGTTGATTGACATGTACCATGTACATGTGCCTCGGATATGGGATTAAATGACCCTTTGCAAACTATCTTTTATTGCTGCGAACTGTGGGGCACCGAGTAATTATATTGCCAGAAACCTGTGGATCATTGTGCAATATATCCCTGTATGCCTGGATTGTCTGAGTCTTCGCTGATGGAACTCTAGCAACAGTGCAGTGTTCAATAAGAAACTATTACAAATTCAGATAGGTTTAACTTACCTGTTCACGCTGTATTTTTGCTGAAGTTTCGCAAAATGTTAAGTTCATACTTTACGGTGCTGTTGAAATATGTATGCAGTCTGTAACGGGATAATACATGACGTTAAAGAAATTGGATGTTAATAATTTATAAAAAGCACAGTCGAGAGACTAATTGGGTTATTAACTTTAATTAGCATCTAATTTAGATCTAAGTATTTGGAATTTTCAGGCATTAATGTTACCATATTTAGTGAATTTTCCATGAAAGATAATGAAAGTGGTCTATTGGCATAATTCATGTAAAGAAAACTGGCTAGTTGTTCGAGCTACACAGTGGCGGAGTCAGTGGGACCGACACTATTGATACCATTATGCAGTCATTTAAACGTTTTCCACGACTGGAACGTACCGTATTCGTTGAAATTCATTGTCACAATCCACATGGAACAATCTGCGAAGATTTCCTCGTTTTTCATAAGGACATATAAACAAACATATGTCATCATCGACAAAAATTAACTATCTTCTACGCATAATTGAATGTGCCGTTTTGTTTCTTTTAAAATTATTTTGTTGTTATTATTTGGGGATTGATAAGTTTGAAAGAGAAACTTTGATTGGCTCATTCACGAAACGTGAAAGGTCGTGTTGGGTCACAATGACATGAAAATATTACTTGCGCTCGCAGTGATTGCTTATGCGTAAGCATATCCATGAGAAACGAGAACGAGGCAATCTCTGCATAATTTGTCACATATTAAGGGAGCCAGCAGATTGTCGCCCATGGTTTTCGACGCTGGTTGAGATTTTGAAGTTGCAGATAGTAAGACAGTTTTTGGCGACTTGCTATTTGAAAATATATTTACTTCATAGTTTTTGTACGGATTGTTACACATCAGCTGTAAATACGGCTACACAATAATTTATTTTTCTTTCTTTATGTACAGTTTCGTAAGTCCGACATCTGTGTTTCAGTCATGGATTTGAAATCATAGCACGGCCAGAATTGCTAAAGAATGCATACTATTAATGTAGTCGCATCCGGTCATGGAAATAAGTTTTGATCATCGTCCTGAAGGTTCAGAACACTTAACATGCACACTTATAAACTTATAAAAGGGATACTAATTTAGTGCTTGACCCGAAATAAATGCTCACCGTATGATGGAGACACTGATACAGCGACAACACGTGGTACAGATGCTGATTTTAGACAACCTACGTCAGGATACTGTTCGAACGTCTATCGCTAATGCATATACAACCAGTATACATGAGTGTCACTAATAAGTCAAAGGTCGGAAGTCTTGTCCAATGACAGGCAGTTTTATTACTACTTTATAAATATCGCGTACATTAACATGTGATAGCATTGACCACGCCAGAAGTCTTATAGCTCTATCTAACAAACAACTCAAACAACACCGCTTGAGTCTGGATTGAGACTGATTTTTTTTTTCTATTTCCCATGACTTCATGACAACTGTCATTGTCAAATGAATGGTCTTACGTGCGCAAATATTACAAATAATTTAACTCTAATCAACCGAGGGCGACACATCTACCAGATTTTAATTTTCACAATTGCATATTGTTATTTTTTCTGGTTTCACATTGGCATGAATTATCAGTACGCTTTTCCAAGCCAAATTTTATGTACATACAATTTAATGTCACTCTGAGTCCTAAAACACAAAGTTACCCCTACTCAAAATGACCAATTTCTTATACCTGACAATATCCTAAGAATTCCTTATCTTACGAAATTCGGGAGGGTCAAATTTGCAGAACCAATCAATCCACGTTGCCATTAAATCTCGTAAATACTATACATTATGAAGTCTACTCATAGCAACTGTCTAATTAATGGGTGTGAAAAATGTATTCCCCATAATCAAAGAAAGAACAAAATCTAACAAAGCTATAAATGGAGTCGCAAATACAAATAGCATATTTCATAGGTTTGTCATATTATTTTTCAGGTAAAAATTAGAATTTTGAAATCAAATTTGTCTGTCTCGTGAAATTCTTTCCTTACAATGCGCTTTTCTATTCATGTGACGCGTATGCTTTTTTAGAATCAGTTTAAATCCTTGTTCCTATAAATACATTAAGTCAAGCGCATTGATAAAAACCGGTAACGTTCCCATGAAGTTTGTAAAGTTTGAAGAAGAAAGGTGCCTTTGTTGACTCTAATCATTTCAAATTCATGATATGTTTGGAATTCAACGCCATTTAAAAAAGTCAGATAGCTTTGTTTGCATATCGCTTGAATGAACAAACAAGTATCACTTCTATATTGATTTCGAATATAAGAATATATACGCTATACCTGCCAAACTGTGAGCGATATTGCAATTTAAAATAGACCTTGGACTCGCAATTACTCGATCGCTGATTTGGAAAATCTCTAATTAGAACACACACGATTACCCGAGTCACCCTTTTTGTAACTTATGCAACAGAAATGTCATCTAAAATTCAATCAATCTCGATGGATTTTTAAGGCACTAAATCTGATTCAGCGTTTTTTAAGAAAGAAGTAAGCAAGGATCAGACGATAGACATATTTGTGGTCAATAAGATTGATTAATGATTGATTGGTTGGCTCATTGATTAACTCACTGATCATTTTTTAAGAAATTACTTTTCTTAATGCACATGGAATTTATGTCCCTGGGCATCTCCGTACAGTTTCGTAATAAATGATTCTTAATAAGAACCTCATTACTGTTAATGTTTTATGATAACGAAGTTAAATAAAGGAAGATCGAGAAAAGAACTGCTCCGGGGGCCTAGTGGTTAGAGCGTCCACTTCGGATTCGGGAGGTCGTGGGTTCGAACCCCGGCTGAGTCATACCAAAGATTTTAAAACTTTGGTACTAACAGCTACCTTTTGGCGCTCAGTATTAAGAGGTTAGTGTTAGGACTGGTTGGCCTGGTGTCAGGATAATGTGACTGGGTGGGGCATCATGTTTTAAATATACAGCTGTAATGAATAAAAATATTTTTTTTTAAAAAGGAATACCGGTGACACAAACTGTCCTAGTTTTGATGGGAATAGGACGAGATTTTCCCTATAAGTGAAATATATTTTTCATTGTCGATTGACAATGTAGATTGAAAATTTTATTGCTACTAATATCTTTTTTTTCTCCAATAACATAATTTCAGTTTAATATTTACCCCCACAAAACAGCATGATTATTTGTTTAAGGCAGTTTGAGAGTCAATCTTTTTAAAAGTCTGCTGCATGATGCACCAGTGCTAGATATCACTATAAACTGTGACACTGCATACATCGTATCGATATGACTGAAAAAATTGTTAAAGCTACGTTAAAAATTTTAAATCAGACACAGATTAGGGAAAAAGAAGGCAGCCAATCGATTGTATTCCGAAAATGATCGAAGTCCTTTCGCATAAACGTTAATTGCCTTACCTCCAGTTTTGACTGTCTTTTTTCTCTACTCCACACACACATAAAGCAAGTTAGCGCATGAGAAAGAAAGTATTAAAAACAGGATTCTCTTTCTGATTAAGCCTGTTTTAAATATACAGCTGTAATGAATAAAAATATTTTTTTTTAAAAAAGGAATACCGGTGACAAAAACTGTCCTAGTTTTGATGGGAATAGGACGAGATTTTCCCTATAAGTGAAATATATTTTTCATTGTCGATTGACAATGTAGATTGAAAATTTTATTGCTACTAATATCTTTTTTTTTCTCCAATAACAGAATCTCAGTTTAATATTTACCCCCACAAAACAGCATGATTATTTGTTTAAGGCAGTTTGAGAGTCAATCTTTTTAAAAGGAAATCCAAGGCCAGCCCCACTTCACCCCCAATAAGTCCTTATTTATGTGAACATCTTCAATGACTATTATTAATGCTATTTCAGGTTGTTAGTAGAGTAATGGATTTAAGACCCAGTACAGAAATGCAGTCATTTGGTTCAGTAACCATAGATATGCAGAACATGCCTAAACAATGTAAAATATCAGTTATCATAATAATCCGAATTTACTCTGATCCATGGCAGACAAGAAGGGAGGGAGGAACCGGGGATATATCCCGGGGCCCGGGCCCGTAAGAAAGCCCGGGCCGAACAACACCTTAATTTAAAAAAGGAAAATTTTGTTTGAACAAAACTAGGAGACCAGGGTGTTTTATGAGTACAAATTTAATTTTTTTAATATTTTTCTTTGGTCACGTTTGCTAAGCTCCAGCTATAAAGGCATGTATAAGCTATAATCTACTTGTCTTTGGAATATTACCGCAGCCATGTGCTTGATGTCTAAAAATTGCCACGGGGTAATCTTTTACGCAAGGATATATGACCCGCCAGAGACATAAATCTTGGATCGTCACAGGTGATAGATCGCACACTTTGACAAAGGCTTGCAGTTATCACACATATGTGTTAAAGATTAATCCAAATATCAAAGAGAAGTTCCCGTAGTGAACGGGGCGTATTTTTATCCGTCTCCAAGTTGAGAGACACACAGAAGGGCATTGGTTCATTGATTGGATTGGTTGACAGCCGCATCCAATTGGAATTGAGATAGTGTGCGTGATTACATTTCCGATCCAAATGTTACTTCAAACTCGTATGAGAAAATTTAGTATTAACATTGAGGGGGATTTCAGATCACTAGGGTTACTCCGAGAACCCACTCGTAATTTGACAGCAAAACTCAGATGTAGATGCTGAAGAAAAACAAAAGCTTCGAAAGGTCAGTAAGGTAAGTCATTTGCTTGATTTTTGCATAATATTACGGTATCCTAATTCCAATTATTTGTAGTATGCATACTTATTTACTAAGATCATTCATTACCTTTGTAGTGTTTTATGTACATGCGTATTTAAGAAATGGACTTGTGCTTACATAGAGACCTATTGGATGCGAGACGAAATTATGTATGCCATTAGCTTGAGGTCAGAACTAATTTTGTAATTCGCTATTAGGTTACTTCGTAGTAAATTAGTGCATTTATTAATAGATTATGTTGGAAATTGAACATGTTTGAATTGTGAATTGGGAAATATGACTGAAGTATGTAAGATTAGTTACTATGGATGTAGGCATATATCAGAGCAAGGATCTTTGTACTTTGCATGAGTGTAAGGTAAATAAATGCCTCTGATTATTGCGATATTGTTAAGTATAACAGGATAAGGAATATGTACTAATGTGAATGAATTTATTGTTTTATGCATAAGAAGTAATTGATAACGTGCTGTAATATGACGTTGTTTTATCATAAAAGAACGTATGGGATATTTCGATATGAACGAATGCATGACCGAAGAAATTTAATAACCTCTATCTTATGATCGGCTACGTTTAGTGTGAGATGAAAAGGCTCAAAAAGAGATTGCACTGTCCATGTGTTTTCACAGGAAGCGTGTTAGGGGACACAGAACTTCGGGTTCCATTAGCTTCCGAGTCTTTAAGAATTGGAGACGGAACTGAGGCTGTAGCCGAGAAAGTCGAAGACGACAAAAGAGTAGTTGTAGTAGAGAAAGTGGAGGAGGAGGAGAAGGAGAATAAGAAGGCCGATGAGGAGAATGAATCTAGAGAAATGTCGAGGAGGAAGGGGAGACGTTAGTGGGGAAAAATAGGAGAGAGAAAGGATACACCAGAGCAGTAGAAATACAAGGACAGGAGGAAATCAATCTCACACTACTAATAAAGTGATACAATAGGCTTATTAGAGGGTCGAGCGGAAGGAGTGTATAGTCATTTGATTATTGAACGGTTTTTAAATAGTTATGCAATGAATTTCAACCCTTTTTTGTATATTTAACCATCTAACCATGGTAATTGCTGACAGAGCTTTACATCTATCTTTCACTAAATTAAAATTCCAACAAAATAGAGCCTGAATGAGACTTTTATAATAGTTTAAATAAAACAATGGGAGTACACCACCCCAACCGTAACAGTCCTCGCATCTATGTCATAGGTTTTCATTTCTACAGAAACGGTATCCATGTCAACATACACACCCACAACTGGACAGAGTGGTGCTTGTGAACATGTAACGGTTGTTCTGTACCAGCTAGCTTACAACAAAAGCATTAAATTGAGATAAATTCCTATTGATGACAGTAAGTCATGATTACCGCAGACATTGCATAAACCTTGGGGTAAGAAGTTCATAGAATACAAAGTGGAAGATATTATTGTCCACGGCTATCCCGTAAAGATCCTCACGTCGACGATGTACTACACGATTTCAGTTCAATATTGGTGAACTTGTGAAAAACATCAGGAATTTAACGTACTATTTCTCACTGTTGGCAGCAGTTCTGACTGGCCAAAAGTTCTAAAATACTTTGGTAAATTTGTGAAGGATAGCAACGAAATTATATATATATATATATATATATATATATATATATATATATATATATATATATATATATATATATATATATGTATATATATATATATATATATATATATATATATATATATATATATATATATATATATATATATATATACATACATCAGCAACATAAAGACAAGCAAGTAATGTTATAATAGTGTTGATTGAGAGTCAAGCAGTAAAGTTTTTGTGTCTGACAGTGAGTGAGACAGAGAGCTGGGAAATAGAACACCGGACCGCGATCCAGAGGACCCCCAGATGGCACAGTATCCGAAAGGATAGGATAAGTCAATTAAATGCTGGATATATAGCAAAACACAGAAAAAGTGAAGCTTAGCATTTTATTGGTCGTATCATAAAGTGACATAATTCGTCCAAAATGGTTACATATTATATTACTTGTCATTACACAGGTGCAGTAAACGCAAAGATTCAAACTATATTTTGCAAGCATCGCAAAAAGTTCGAACTATATAGATTATTATACATACAATGGGCTTATTCTATAATTAAATAGATATTAGATTACGTGTGGAGCTTCCTACAGTTTCAAACTTAAGTTGATGCCAGTTGTAGGTATACATAAATGTACTTGTTGATAGGTAGAGTAGATTAATATTATAATGAATAAGTCTGGGCTTGTGTAGCACATCCTACAGACGAGATAAAAATTCTCTCTCTCTCTCTCTCTCTCTCTCTCTCTCTCTCTCTCTCTCTCTCTCTCTCTCTCTCTCTCTCTCTCTCTCTCTCTCTCTCTCTCTCTCTCTCTCTCTCTCTTTGATACAAATGTTGCATTAGCAGACGATCAGAATCGAGCCAATCAATGAAGGAGCACCAGACGTGTGAACACTACTGCTATGAAGAATGGATTGGAATCAGAAGGGTCAACACCAAAGGAATATAGCGAGGCAAACTGCAACATTAATCCAATTCACATACAAGTTATCTAGATTACAAGTTAGCCATAGTTTATTGCACCCTGTATTTTACTAAAATAAGATTGTTTTGGAATATACAATGTGTACAATATAAGGAATCAAAAGGACAAGTTTATTTAATTCTCAAAACAAAAACAAGGCATAAAACATGTAGTACCTGCTCAAGAAATCAAGGAAAATAATATTTAATGGATAAAAGGATACCACATTGTGTAAGGACAACACTGTATTTAAAGAATAAACAAACCCTTTTTTAAATTAGGGCGATGTGTGATTTTGATTTGTTTCTAATGGGTTTTTTTTTCTAAGGAAATGACAGTGTCAGTCTGTATCCAGGTAGCATAACTGTGAGTGCATTTGTCATTTGCTCATTGCAACACCTAACAGAACAGTCTACAACTCCAAGAGGACCCCCATCCCGACTTAATGGATTGTTGGAGATCAAATGTCCAGCTGCAAAGACTTAAATATTCCGAAGTACCTTGTGGCATCTGACGATGCCTTGCAATTAAAACAA